AAAAAAACCTCTTTAAATATAAGAGCAGATTATATAGCCATAATTTCTGTGCTAAAAACCATGAACAATAGTCTCTCAGCTAAAAGTCCTAGTACTTCAGAAATATATATATATATATATATGAATCTATCTAAAATAGATTAGCAAGCCCACCTATAATAAATATACTGGCACTTTGATACCAGAGGTTTTAAAAAAATACACATCTATTCATTTCACTCTCCTATTGTATCAGGGTTCTTCTAGCAGAAAACAGAATCTAACTAGTTTAAAGCAGAAAGTGATTTATTATGGAGTATTAGGGAGTTTGTACTATTTATAGGAAAGCAGGATGGGCTACCAAAAGCATTCAGATTCTTAGCATGGCATACAAGACCTTCTATGGCCTGACTATTGCTGTCTTTCTCTGTGCCTGTCTCCAGTCCTACCAAATTACTTGAAGTTTTTAGAGCTGTTCTGTCAGCCTCAACCTTCCTTGTGGAAAATGCCTTTTCTTTCAGTATTGAATTCCTGTCAGTTCATTCCTCTTAAGATTTTTCTGGCCATCATTACAAGGTATTAATTGCTCCCACCTCAATATACTTGTATCACCTATAAAGATTATAATTACTTGTTACCTTTTCTGACTTCCTCTTTAACTTGTGAGTTCCCTGAGGAGCCTGAGGTCAAAAACTCCATCTTTCTGGTCTTTGCATCCCTGGTGTCTAGCATGAAACCTAGCACATAAAGTGTTTAATGCGTGCTTATTGCATTACTGAATGAGAAAAGCAATTTCTGTCTCTCCAAGGTAGTAGATGAGTTTAAGAAGATGACATTCTGGGTAGGAATTTAGGATTTGCTAATATGATTAACATGTACATGTCCGTGTAGGGAAGGATTTTGGAGTAGAGAAGCCCTGATAATACAGATCTCATATAAATGGTTTCAAATAGACCGAAGAGGGACAAGAATTCTAAAAAGACCCCAATGCTTACAATGATAGCACAGGTCACGTACAGCCCAGAGAGACTCTGATGCCTGTCTCCAGCTTTCTCCTTGTGAGCAGTCAGTTCACATGACCTGTACAGCCAGACCATGCCTGAGGGAATATGAAGACCACCACATCTTTTGGATCTTCATCTGTCCTTATTTCTAAATCCTATAGGGATATCCTAAAGAAGCTACTGGGGGGAAGCGCTAGAGAGAGTTTCACTTTTAGTCTTTCCTTAGTATTTCCTCCAGGAAATAAGCATTTTGGTTTTATGTCTGAATATTCAGGTGTCTAATTCATTTGACTAAGAGAAGTAAATAGGAAGCAAAGTTTAGGCAATGGATGGGAAGCAGCCAGGCTTACCCTGCCATCGTAGAGCTTGTCCAGGACTGCCCCAACAACCAGTATGGTTCATTGTTGTGGAGACCACAGAAGACTGCAAGACCCAGGCCTTGCCTATCATGAAAAGATGTCCGTGAAAATACTCCTTCATGCAGTGCCTGTACCTAGGAAAGGTGGAAGGCATTCAACAGTGAGAAAGGGTAAGAGAGGCTAAGAAAGTACATGAAGCTAAAAGGAGTCTGTGTGAGCAAATGGCAACAGTTAGATGGCCTTGTGCATGTCACTTCATCCATCAGACTTTCCATCTAGTAGCTAGAAAACAAATAATGATTGACCTTTACTTCATAGAAATGCTAGGATGAAGTCGGTAGTATCTAAACAGTAATTTAGACCAGAAAAAGATATTTAATAAAGGGGCACTACCTTAAAGGGAATAAAAGTAGAGGGGACATTTTTCTAGTTTTTTTACATTTAGTAACCTATATTAATTCCTTGGACTTTTTTATGATACCAGATGATAATTATGTACCCATAGTCAATAAACATCTACTGAACACCTTCCATGTGACAGGCAGTAAGAAAAACAAAGATCAATAAGGCAGGATTCCTTCCTATAAAGGGGATGTAGGGGCACCTGGGTGGCTCAGTTAGTTAAGCCTCTGACTTCGGCTCAGATCATGATCTTACAGTTCATGGGATCGAAGCCCGCATCGGGCTCTGCTGACAGCTCAGAGCCTGGAGCCTGCTTCGGATTCTATGTCTCCCTCTCTTTCTGCCCCTCCTTCTGCCCCTCCTCAGCTCACACCATCTCTGTCTCTGTCTCTCTCTCTTTCTCTCGGTCTCTCAAAAATCAATAAACATTAAAAAAATAGAGGATGTAAAGAGTTATGTGGGAAGTAGAATCAACAGAATTTGGATGAGGATTTAGTCATTCCTTTAACATTCCACAGATATTTTCTGAGCACCTAGTTTATTGTTAGTGCTGGAGATTCAACCATGAACAAACTAACTAGGCTTCTGCCCTCCAGCAACTTACCTTCTGGCAGGAAGGACTAAACAATAAATATATAAACGAGTGATTGCTGATCGTGATCATTATCAAAGAGCAAACAGGTTGCTATGGTAGACAACAATGCAAATAAAGATGTCAAATTACATGTAAGTGGTTAGAGTCAGCTTTTCTGAGGAATTATTTAAACTGAGATTTAAAGGACAAGACAAAGGTAGACCCAGCAAGAAGGTGCCAGAGACATCGTGTAACGCCCTGAGGTAAAAAAGCCTGGTGGAGTCATTGGAGAGTAAGAGACAGAATGGAAACTACTGGTGTAGATTTTTCTGTCATGGTGACTAGATACTTGATGATGTCATTTTCTAGGATAAGTAATGCAGAAAGGGGAAGATAAGTTGAACTTGAGGTATGTTGAATTTGAAGTGCCTGTGCACATCCAAAGTGATGTTCAGTAGGCAGTTGGATACACGAGGTCAGCAATTTAGGACAAAGAATGGATTTAGGAGTCCTCAGGGAGATAACTCCAGGAATCTAAAAAACTCAGGCACCATCAGCTAAATGTCGTGAGATGAATCTGGGGAAAAGCGCAGTACCACCCATGGAAAAATGTATAGACTGAAATGAAAGATTATTTTGGCCCATTATGAACAGAGAAAGACCAAGAAAATACGAGAGAGGTAAAAGGGATAACTGAGGGAAATGGTATGAAAGCCAAGAAAGGAAAATAATTTTAAGTAGCAATGATTCAGTGTCATAAAAGATCAAATAAAGGCAGGATTGGAAATGTCATTGGGTTTTGCAACCAGAAGAAAATTCATGACCATATTATAGTAATGGTTAAGAGCATAGGCTGTGGAGCTACACGGCTTGGGTTTGAAGCCTGACTCTGCCTCTTGCTAGCTGTGTGGCCTTGACAAAATTTACCTCCTCAGTGCTTCCATTTCCTTATCTGTAAAATGAGGTTTTCGATACTGTTTGCCTCATAGAGCTGTAATGAGGAGCAAATGAATTAATACAAGTAGAATGCTTCCACGGTGCCTGGCGCATAACAGGTGCTTGATGAATGTTGCCAATTTTTTATTGCCATTACAATTATTAGTGAAAGCAGTTTCCTTTAGGGTAGGAGAATGGAATGAAAGCTGAATTGCAGCCAGTTGAGGAATAAGTGGAAGTGAAGAAGAGGTAATAGGAAGTGTAAACTCCTTTCAAAAAGCGTGGCCATTAAAGGAAAAATAGAGGATTGGTAACTAGAGGTAAACTCAAGGCCTTAACCTTCCTTAGGAAAGAGACTTGAAACTGCAGGGAAAGAACCAGCAAAGAAGGAAAGATTGAAGATGAGAGAGATGACAGGAGATGGAACAGGATTCTGGAGGAGGTAGAAAGGGAATAAGATCAAAGCACATAGAGAAGTCTTAGCTTTGGACACTGTCTTGTTTGAGGGGGACAAGATGGGAGGATGATTGCAGATGTGAATATAGTAGAGTGAAGGTGGTATAACAAATAACTTCTGTAATGAGGGCATTGTCTAAGGAGAACAAGGATTGAGAAAATGGATTAAAGATTATCTGCTAAGGGGGGTGGGGAGAGATGGTTGACCAAGGGCAAGAAAAGGATCCCTCAGTAGTAGTGTAAGCCATGTTAAGACTGGAGACCTAAATCTGTAATGGCACCAACGTCGGGACGCGTTTTAGCAGTTTTAGCATCTCAGGCACGGGCACAGGGAAGACCGAGTGTCAGATTGATCCAGGATTGGGAGTTTTCAGGATCAGCACTTCAGAAGGACAGTGGGGACAGAGTCCTAGTGAGAGAAGTTAAAGCAAGCAAGCTTGGAGGTCAGGCTCAGTGAAGAAGGAAATGGAAGGTAGGGGGAAGCAAAGGACAAGAGACCAGAGGTCACAAAGAGCTCTAAAGTGGTGTAGTGGAAACACAAGAGCAAGAGAACATGATTATTGGAATTTCAGTTCCAAAGCCAACAGAATTCCTGCATGGCAGCTCTGGTGTTAGGCCATAGGGGTAGATAATGCTGAAGTGGATCCCATCCTAGAAACAGGAGTAAAAACAAAGCTAGTTTTGTCGGGTGCTTCCAAACTTCCTGGCTTGTTCTTCAGCATTGCCTTCTCTCATTTATCCAAGATCTCAACAGCATTTATTTTACCTACAGACTTTCAGCATTCTCAAATCATAGGAAACAGTTGATAATTAGAATGCAACTGATCATCAAAAACTCACATATTTGCGTTTGAAGTACTCATTCACGTATAAATTCAGCCCGTTTGTTAGATGCCTTATCTGTTTATTGGCACAAATGAATAAAACATAAGCTCCTGAGACCTAAAGAGCTTATGACCTAAGGGGGAAATGTGTGTGTATATATATGTATATATGTGTATATATATACATATATATACACATATATACATATATTGACAGTAACTATAGTGCAAAGTGTTACTTTGCAAAGTAAATCTCCAGCAGACTTACTTTGCTGATACATATATTTTTTTTTTTACCAAAGCTTTTACTGAAAGTGCATTGCTCTGTTAGTGTTCACACTACCTTGAGTAAGCAATCAGTGAGTGTTACTTATAATTATTACTATTACCATCACCCAGTAGGAGATGATTCTAGAAGCATGTGAGATATGACGAAAATCAACAGACTTTTATACATTTATTATGGAAGATATACATATTGATAATTAAAATTTGGCTTACATGAGCTGTATGTAACAGTTGATGTTTTTCGTGATGTTTCCTCTCACAGTACATTTGATCTTTATCAGCTGACATTAAGGTGCTTTGATGTTTTTAGGGATTTTGTCCATAGAACAGCTCATCAGCCGGGTAGGTGTGATCGGTGTGACTCTCATGGCTCTTCTTTCTGGATTTGGTGCTGTCAACTGCCCATACACGTACATGTCCTACTTCCTCAGGTAAAGAGAACTTCGTCTCTTTTCTTTCTTCCTATGACTTCATGCATACGTACGTGATATCATGCTGCCATCATTAATACTTAAGTATTAGATCTGTGACACGGACTTTTTATTCTTTCCCTCTGCCCTTATGGGCATTATCCTAGGAGTCTTCCTGAATAAGTCTTATCACTTATATTGTTTGTCCTTATTTGTCCTACATTCACTTATTTTTAAAATGGTTGTTTCACTCAGACCCTCTACCTCCTCTTAAAGGCACATTTCTTGTGGACAGCAGTGCAAGCTAATCCCAACTTCAGTCAATCGCTTCCTCCCAAAAGTAGCACTAATTGTGCCTCGGATAAACCTCATTGGCTACAAGACTGCCCTTGCACAAAGCTTTGCCAAGCTGCAGGCGTGCTTACGGATACCTCATAAATGTCACTGGATCAGGGGCGCCTGGGTGGCTTGGTCGGTTGGGCTTCTGACATCAGCTCAGGTCATGATCTCGCCGTTCCCAAGTTCAAGCCCCATGTCAGTCTCTGTGCTGACAGCTCGGAGCCTGGAGCCTGCTTCAGATTCTCTGTCTCCCTCTCTCTCTCTGCCCCTCCCTCGCTCATGAATGTCTGTCTCTCTCAAAAATAAACAAACATTAAAAATATTTTTAAAAAATGTCATTGGATCAGAGGTAAGAAAGACTATATAAGAGAGCCACTTACCTTCCACTACCCTGAGACTGTAAAAAATATTAGCTATAAAACATGGCAACAAAAGGACTTCTGTTTATTATAATCATGTTAATATTCTCTAGAAAGAGGTCCTTCAATTACTGGGTAACAATTGAGGTTTATGTGTTTGTCAGCGGCCTTGTATTTATTATGCCCAAGGATGGGGTCCCAAAACATTGCTAACAGTTTGTGCTTATTATAGAAATGTGACTGATGCAGATATCCTCGCCCTGGAACGGCGACTGCTCCAAACCATGGACATGATCATCAGCAAAAAGAAAAGGTAAGATACCAGCACATTAAAAACCTGTACTCTTGGGGTGCCTCGGTGGCTCAGTCGGTTAAGTGTCCGACTTCAGCTCAGGTCACGATCTCGCGGTCCATGGGTTCAAGCCCCGTGTTGGGCTCTGGGCTGATGGCTCAGAGCCTGGAGCCTGCTTCCGATTCTGTGTCTCCCTCTCTCTCTGCCCCTCCCCCGTTCATGCTCTGTCTCTCTCTGTCTCAAAAATAAAAGTAAATAAATAAACGTTAAAAAACATGTACTCTTAGAATTTCTCAACAAGAAAATGTGACTGTGAATTGATAACAGGGAGTTTCATCATATTCATTTTTACAATAAGATACCATCAAAGATTTTGAGGTTCCTTGGTGGCTCAGTCAGTTAAGCATCCTACTCTGATTTCGGCTCAGGTCGTGATCTCATGGTTCATGAGCTCAAGCCCCGCATTGGGCTCCACGCACTGACAGTGCAGAGCCTGCTTGGAATTCTCTCTCTCTCCCTCTCTCTCTGCCCCTCCTCAACTCGCTCACTCTCAAAAATAAACTTAAAAAAACAAAAAGACTTAATGTTTAGTCTTGTGTGAATGAAATTTTCAAATTCCACTTATTTCCTGACTTTAATTCTCTTGAGATAAGTTGTTAGAATAACTTCTGTAGTTGAAGGTATTCTACATTGATTGGATGCTTTAAAAGTCTGTTGTCCTACATTTTTACAAAATCTGCATGCCTGATTTCAATCTTTTCAACTTCCTTTTCTCCAACTACTTTGAAAAATCCTTCAAGTCTTCTAGCTGTTGTCCTTTTTGTCATTTTTAAGAAGTAGACTTACAGTGTGTGTTTTTAAAGTGGCATTTCTAGAAATCTGTATCACGGTGGGTTAAAGCCTAGGCTCTAGACTCAGACTTTCTGAATTTGAATCCTTGCCGTAGAGTTCACAGTGTGGCCTTGAGCGTTACTTCATGTCTTGGTTTCCTCAACTGTAAAATGGAAATAATAAGAATGAGTTGACATGTAGAACTCTAGAACAGTGAACCATACATAGCTAAGGAAAACTATTGAACTTATTAATAGTCTCGGAGGACAGTCATTAGGTTTTAGTGCTTTGTCTTCATTTATGCATTCATGTATTTTCATTCTCTCAATATAAGAAGCCCAGTTTCTGCTAGGCACTTTGCTAATTGCTGAACGGTCATAGAGATAGAATGAGGAACAAGATAGTAAGTTATTGTCTTCATTAAGCTACTTAGTCTGTCTTTATTAAAGTCCTGTTACCCAAATAAAAACTGTGACATAGAGGTTTTAAACTGCATGAGTGTTTCTGCATTTCGTGTTTCGTCCTTCAACATTTTTCTATAGTAAGACCCATCAAGTCAAAGTCAAAGAAGGCTTTAATGGAAGAGATGACAACAGACTTTACAATGATAAAGAGGATGAGATTTACCAGCTAATTATTTGTCTCCATTTCTGTACATCTGTCCGAGGGTATTGAAAGTAGATACACATGGATATACATTTGTTCTCTGGGTTTTGTCCACATTTTATAATTTTATACAGTTTATTTTACATGAATGAATATGAATGTAGATTTAAAAAATATAACAGTAAGAGCAACATTATTCAGTATCGAAAGATAATTATAAAGGAATAATACTATCTTGATTCCCATGATTGTTCTCCTTTTTACTATATTTTATTCATGTAGAGATAAATGAATCCCTCACCACCTTCCCCTCTGCCAACCATCATTTCTGCGTATTTGAGTGTTCCTGTTTTGTGTTTATTTTTAGATTCCACATATAAGTGAAATCATATGATATCTTTCTGTCTGCCTTGGCATAATAACTTCTGTATTCATCCATGTTGTTGCAGATGGCAAGGTATCATCCTTTTTTTTTTTTTTTTTTTTTTTTTTTTTTTTTTTTTTTTTGGCCGTGTAATAGTCTCTGTGTGTGCATGTGTGCGCACGCGCCCAACATTTAGGTTGCTTCCGTATCTTGGCTATTATAAGTAATGCTGTAGTAAACCTAGGGGTACATGTAGCTTTGAAATTATTGTGTTTTTTTTTCTTTGGATAAATACCCAGTAGTTGAATTACTGGATCCTATGGTAGTTCTATAGTTCTGTTTTTAATTTTTTGAGGAACCTCCGTACCGTTTTCCACAGTTGTACCAGTTTACATTCCTGCCCACGGTGCACAAGGGTTCCCTTTACCTCCACACCCTTGCCAACACTTGTTAATTCTTATTTTATCCATTCTGACTGGTGTGAGGTGATATGTCATTGTGATTTTGATTTGCATTTACCTGATTGGTGATGTTAAGCATCTTTTCGTGTGTCTGCTATCCATCTGTATGTCGTCTTTAGAAAAATGTCTATTCAGGTCCTCTGCCCATTTTTAATCAGACTGCCTTTTTGATGTTGAGTTGTATAAGTTCTTTATATATTTTGGATACTAACCTCTTATTGGATACATCATTTGCAAGTAGCTTCTACCATTCAATAGGTTGTCTTTTTATTTTATTAATGGTTTTTTTCGCTGTGCAAAAGCTTTTTATTTGCTGTCCCAATAGTTTCTTTTTGCTTTTGTTTCCCTCAACAGAGAAGTCATATCCAGAAAAATATTTCTAAGATTAATATCCAAGAGATTACCACCTGTGTTTTCTTCTAGGAATTTTGTGGTTTCAGGTCTCACATTTAGTTCTTAATCCATTTTGAGTTTATTTTTATATATAGTGTGACAAAGTGGTCCAGTTTCATTCTTTGCGTGTAGCTGTGCAGTTTTCCCAGCACCTTTTATTGAAAGGACTTTTTTTCCCATTGTATATTCTTGCCTCCTTTGTTGTAGATTGTTGTATAGGTATGGATTTATTTCCGGGCTTTCTATTCTGTTCCACTGATCCATACTACTTTGATTACTATAGCATTGTAGTATATCTTTAACTCCAGGTTAGTGATACCTCCAGTTTTGTTCTTCTTTCTCAATATTCCTTTGGTTCTCTAGAGTCTTTTGTGGTTCCATACAAATTTTAGTATTATTTTTTCTAGTTCTGTGAAAAAGGCTGTTGGTATTTTGATGGGGATTGTATTCAATCTGTAGATTGCTTTGGATAGTATGGACATTTTCATAATATAAATTCTTGCAATCCATGAACGTGGTCTGTCTTTCCATTCATTTGTTAGCTGCAGTGTCTTTGATCAATACTTTATAGTTTTCAGTGTACAAGTTTTTTACTTCCTAGGTATTTTATTATTTTTGGTGCAGTTGTAAATGGGATTGTTTTCCAAATTTCTCTTTCTACAATTAGTTTCAGTTTTACTTCTTTCTTATGAATTTGGATGCCTTTTATTTCTTGTCTGATTGTTGCAACTAGGACTTACAGTACTGTGTTGAATAAAAGTGGTAAGAGTGGACATTCTTTTTTCCTGATGTTAGAGGAAAAACTGATTTTCATCATTGAGTATGACGATAGCTGTGGGTTTTTCATATATGTCCCTTTTATGTTGAGATATGTTCCTTCTGAATCTACTTTGTTGAGAGTTTTTATGATCCAGTGTTGAATTTTGTCAAATGATTTTTCTGTATCTATTGAGGTGATTATATGATTTTTATCCTTTGTTTTGTTAATGTGATGTGTCACATTAATGTGTGATGTGTCAATATTGAACCATCCTTGCATCCCTGGAGTAAAACTCACTTGGATCGTGCTGAATGATCCTTTTAAAGTGCTATTGAATTCAGTTTGCTAATATTTTGTTGAGGATTTTTGTATCTATGTTCATCAAGGGTATTGTAGTTTTTTTTGTAGTGTCTTTGGATGGATTTGGTATCGGTAAAGCTGGCCGCGTAGAATGAATTTGGAAGCCTTTCTCTTTTTTCGGGGGTGGTTTGAGGAGAATAAGTATTAAGTCTTCTTTTTTTTTTTTTAATTTTTTTTTTAATGTTTTATTTTATTTTTGAGACAGAGAGAGACAGAGCATGAGCGGGGGAGGGTTAGAGAGAGAGGGAGACACAGAATCCGAAGCAGGCTCCAGGCTCTGAGCTGTCAGCACAGAGCCTGACGCGGGGCTCGAACTCACAGAGGGTGAGATCATGACCTGAGCCAAAGTCGGAAGCTTAACCAACTGAGCCACCCAGGAGCCCCAATATTAACTCTTCTTTAAATGTTTGGTAGAATTCACCTGTAATTCCTTCTGGTCTTGGACTTTTGTTTATTGGGAGTTTTTTGATTACTGATTCAATTTTGTTACTAGTAGCTGGTCTGTTCAGAGATATCCTATTTCTTCCTGATTCAATTTCAGAAGATTCTATGTTTCTAGGAATTCATCCATTTCGTCTAGGTTGTCTAGTTTGTTGACATATAAATTTTTGTGGTAGTCTTTTACAATCCTTTGTATTTCTGTGGTGTCAGTTGTTTCATTTTTATTTCTGGTTCTATTTATTTGGGTCCTGTCTCTTTTTCATAATGAATCTGGCTAAAGTTTTGTCAATTTTGTTACCTTTTCAAAGAACCAATTCCTGATTTCATTGATCTTTCTACTTGTTTTTAGAGTCTATTTCATTTATAATTTCTGCCTGATCTTTATTGTTTTTTTCCTTCTAACCTTGAGCTTTGTTTGTTCTTTCTCTGGTTCCTAATTTAGGTGTAAAACTAAATTGTTTGAGATGTTTCTGATTCCTTGATGTAGGCCTGTGTTGCTGTAAGTGTCCCCCTTAGAACTGCTTTTGCTGTATGCGAAAGATTTTGGATGATTGTTTCTCCACTTTCATTTGTCTCCATGTATTTTTAATTTCCTCTTTGATTTCTTAACTGACCTGTTGGTTTGCCTGGTAGCATGTTTAGCCTCCATGTGTTTGTGTTTTTTCCAGTTGCTTTCTTGTGATGGATATCTTGTTTCATACCATTGTAGTCAGAAAAGATGCATGATATGATTTCAGTGTTTTAAAATTTATTGAGACTTGTTTTGTGGCCAGCATATGATCTGTCCTGGAGAATGTTCCATGTG